GTGTGTGTGTGTGTGTGTGTGTGTGTGTGTGTGTGTGTGTGTGTGTGTGTGCTAGTGCGCATGCCTCTGCGCGTGCTTGTATGTGTGTGCACTCAAATCGCTGCGTGTGAGTGCGCAACGGTGTGTGTGTGCATGAGTGCAAGTGTGTCACTGTGCCTCCAAGTGCGTTTGCAGAAGTATAAAAGGTACAGGATACAAACTAGCAACCGTGCCTACGTTTTGAACACTGCTTAGGAGGCGGGCTTTCGATCCTGCCCGCCATGGCCAACCAAGGCTAAACGGGAGGCAGCATTACAGTAGAAATATCGATATGTACACGAGAAAAAATCTGCAAACGGAACCGAACTCGGGTCTCCTGCGTTCGGCAGTGAATAGCCTAAAAACTAAACCACACACACCGGTTTGAAAGGAGAGACAACCAGAGCGGTGAGAGAGAGAGAGAGAGAGAGAGAGAGAGAGAGAGAGAGAGAGAGAGAGAGAGAGAGAGAGAGAGAGAGAGAGAGGGAGAGGGGGGGGGGAGGGGGGGGGCGAAAAAGAGGCGGACAAGAGCAGGAGTGAATGCTAAGAGTACCAACAGTAAAGTAAGACGAGATAATAATAATTCCACCTCATTTCCATAATAAGCCAAACAGCGTGACAGGAGGGCGTGGCACCTGTTGTGAGTACAATAAAAAACCTCGGGCCGTCACAGTTGACCATGCGTGACATTTTCCTCGCACTTCTCGCCCGCCTCTTCTCACAAGGAATAAGGCCTCGCTTCTCTTATTACGAGAATTCGTGCACTCTCTAACTCTACGGTACATACAACGGCAATACTTTCGTCTGGGGGCGATGGTGTCCTGTATATCTACTACACTCCTTTACAGGTATCAGCCACGTCTCCGAGATTCTGGATACCGGGAGTACTTGGGAAAAAAACTAGGAACCATTTTTTTCCGCTTTATTTAAGTTAGAGTTTTACGGAATTCGCAACACTATGAGGTCATATAAGTGTGGAAGATTAGAGTCGTTGAAAGAAAGTAACATACACAGAATAGAAGGTGGAGAGGTTATGATAATAGATGTTTGTTAGAAAAAAGAGCAAACCATACCAGACGACCCACCAACCACCCACACGCCCTAACGTCTGAGAGACTGTAGGCGGGCATCTGTGGTACTTTCAACCACTAGGAACCTGTTGGGTTTTTTTCTTTTCATTCAAGATACTAATGAAGTGCTGAATTCCTTCTGTTTCTTCTGTACCACAGTATTATTGCAGTGAGCATGGAAGACAGAAAGCCACGTAGTATGAGCTATCTAAATCCGCCTACCATGATGGAAGCGACTTTTTTTTTCTATTTAATTCGATTGGACGGGTAGATGCTTAGGTTAATTAGTATCAGAAAATGCCATATTAATCTCTCTGAGCGACAGGGCAGTAGGCGGAAACGCCCACGATCACGACGAGCTCGGAAATAGCAAGGGGGAAAAAAAGAGTCGTAACAACAAAAGTACGGTCATGGTTGTCGTGAGTGGGCGATTCAACTCAATGACAGCTACACTTTGCGAGGGATCGGTTAGGAAAATATTCTCGCTGAACAGAATTAACAAGCATAGGCCACACTGCAAACGGACAAACAGTCAAACGGATGGATGGATGGCTGGATGGCTGGATGGATGGATGGATGGATGGATGGATGGATGGATGGATGGATGGATGGATGG